GAGCTTCACCACTGCAATGGTGGTCCAAAATTTCCACCCCAAATTGCTGGGAACAGCAAGGAAGATGCAGAAACCAGTCAAACTGGTACAAGAGAGCTTTAAACAAGTCATGCTACCTCTTAAGCTCAAGCTGTGAAAATTTTATGTTCCAGTGAAACCATCTCCAGTACAAATCCTACTTGTTGCTTTTCCAGTGGCACAAACAACTGAAGACACTCCACGATGGGCAACAAGGTTTGCACTGCCTGACCTCACACTACAGCACTTAAAGCTCAGCTGACATCCAGCCCCTCCTTTCCACAGCTCTCCATTATCACGAGCCCAAACCCCCCAGGTTATTCCTGACACAGTCAAGGAAGCTGCAAACTGAGACACTGCACAGCCTGGATCCCTGTGGGAAGCCAAGTGGAAGCACACAGGGAAATGCAACATTCCCAAGTTTAACAGTAGTCCTGGTGATCCCTGTACTTTCCTCTGCTTTCAGAGGGCACCCACGTTCAAGCAGAACCAGCTCTAAAATATTGATTTAGAGCAGATGTAGTTTAAAGAGAGCTTACAAGGAAAGCATTTTTTGATCCTTTTTCTTTTGACCCTCTGCAGGGAGAGCGTGAAAACAAAAAGCAACATTAAGTCATAAAAAAATAATTGTTGTAGTCCTCAGCAATTTTTTAATTCCCCTTCCTTCACTAAACATCTGGGTTTTGTTAGAAAACACTATAAAATGATTTTCCAAAACCTTTGACATGCATTCTGCTCAATAGGTCCCAAAAGCTCAGGGAGGAGAGCTTCAAACCAAGTAAGGGCTGTTATTTATGAAGCCTTACTGGTGAAATTGGTCTAATCCTTCTGTCTGACCATTCCCTGCTACTGAAGGGCACAGGGATAGAGAGTCAGCATGTTAAGGTGATGCTCATTTAATAGAGAAAAGGACAATACACCCAGGAAACTATTATTCAAGCAGACTCAGTGTGATGAGCCAAGAAAAAGCTGTTCCTGCACAGCCCAGGACTCTGGAGATACCTGTGCCATTAAGTTACTTCAGAACAAATTAGTGCTCCACGAACTGATTAGACCATAAATAAGCCCAGTAGGAAAGAGGGAAGCCACTGACAGGCACAGCAGCTGAGCTCTACAGCTCTCACTCAATGAACACCACAAAGTTGTCAGTGCCAAAGGGATCTCTGGTCCTTTTACTCCCCCATTCAAAGGATGTCAAAGCAGATGCAGTATCTGATCACAAGAATCCTGTACTTTCATTTTCTCTCGTCACTCAAAGCACAAATTGCAGCTCTGTCCCCGACCTAATAATTATTGGTATGGCTGCATTTTGTTCTCTTCCAGCAGCAGCAGGAAACTTGATTGGAGCTGCAGGAACCCAGGCAGTGACTGCACAAGCTGCTGTTGTGATAGCAAAAAGCAGAAGCCAACTCGGCAGGTAATTGGACTTGAAGTCGGAAAGATCTTCCCCAGGCAGCTTGAAATAGTAATTTCATAGGGGAGAAAATAGGTTGGCTTTATCCACCACAGGTTACCAAAGGAAAACTTTGATCCTAAGACAGACAGACATAATAAATACCAAGACACACCACCATAAAAAGGTAATAAAGGTGGGGGTTTTTGTAGTCTGCAGCAATTCAAAAGGCATTTGCAACCTTCTGTGGGGTCAGTATTAAGAATGGAATCACTCAGGCACCAAAGCAAAACATTCCTTGTTAGAAAGGAGTACTTCCAGTGCTTGATTCCCTTGCCCACTGACTTAATACTTTGGAAGGTCTCAAATCCCATATACACTGTTGCAGTCGTGCTTCCAGAGTAATCCTAGGGAATTCTGGAGGGCTACTGTCAACAGTTCATGCTTCCTAATGCCATACTTCAAGTAATTCAGACGCACACAAAGCTCCTTCTTCATTTCTCTAAACTCTACACCTATGGAAGTAATTCCAAAGCATTAGAAACCAATAAGGAAATCTAAATGCACACAGACCTGAAGTCATGGGGGATTACATGATTAGAGTATCCAGTAAAACCAGTAACCTCAGTGTTAGTGCCAGCTGCCAGCACCCCCCTCATATGGGAGTGGGGAGGGGGGGGCTTTCTCCCACTGTTCCACAAAAAGAACTCCAACTAAACAACATCCAACAAGGAGTTAGTGATGGCTGAGAAGAAAGAAAGAGGAGTGAAGATCCACCTGTGTAAACCTAATGGTCCACTGAATCAAAAAGACTGGGTGTGTACTGGAACATGAACACCTCTGCTCAGCAGAAATTGGAATCATACACTTTTCTTTAGATGGCATATTATTCACCTACTTAAGATCTGTAAGAAAGATATACTGTCCTTAAATATTATTCCACAGTGATATTAAGTTGGCTTTCACTCACAGACATGTTTCCCTGTCAGACATGTACCCCCAACCAAAAAAAAAAAACCCCACCACAAACCCCCAAAATATAAAAATCCCTTAAGCAAACCTCTCATACCCCTCCCAAAACCTAGTAAACTTCAGTTCAGCATCCCAGCACTCCCAGGTGACCCTGTGACGTGATGATTTTGAAACAAACTCTCTAGTTCAGCGAAGGAGATTATTAAAATCTTGGATTCATACACAGTTAATGAAGACTCACAGTCCCTCACTCCCCACCCCTGACATGTACATAAAGAAACTCGAGACAGCATAAAGAGTTTTAAGCTTCCTTTCTTACCTTCCTTTCTTACAGCAAACCCAAATCTGAGAATGTTGGAAAAAGTCTGTCTTAAACAGTGTGACTTCTGTGAAAAAGGGGATACCAGAAAATTTCCTGACCGCTGCCTAAGCACAGAGTTAATAAAACAGGTTTTAAAGTGAAGTGAATAATGTTGAAGAGGTGCATCCATATTTTAACAGTACTCTGAAAAAACTTGAGACTCATTACCCCATGCAGTGCTTTCCCCCCAAACACACCCATATACCCAAACAATCCTAAGTTTTCTCCAGCACCTCGGAAGGCAGAGTGGCAAAAAACCGAGCTTTCAGTGGAAGAAACAAAAGGCCCTGATTCATATGCAATTAGCTCAGCTAAATTTACTACTGAAGCCATTGCTACCCCAGCTGTCCTTGACACCTGCACAGCAGGGACAATGGGACGTGACAAGCAGCCTCCTGCCATTTATTGCAGTTTTCAGGCTTAGAATTGGTGACAAATACAGTTCCTGAGCTGCTGCATTAACACAATTAGCACAAAACCAGCCCTGCACCTTATTCCAGTGTCCACATCAGAGACAAAACCAATAGAGACAGTCAGTGCCTCACCCACCTCTGCTAAATCCACCACCCAAGAAGCACCAGTGCTCTAAACATAACATGTGTCTTCCCACTCCAGGTTCAGCTTGCAGTGACAGACAAGCAGAGCAAAACAGAAAATTGGTATCTGAAAAGTTAGAAGGAAGGATATAAAGGGAGAAAACTTGTTAATATCCTGTGCAGCACAACTTCCCACCATTTTACCTTCCTTAAAGACGAGTTAGACTGAAAGACTGAGAGCAGAACTAAACTTTTGAGATCAAGTTGTTATTTTCTAAGAACCAAGCAGCTCACTCTTTATCAGCCTGTGTTTCTGCAATCATTGACACAAGTTGTGTGCAGAAACCATTCCCAGTAAAATTATTTAGGCTCTGGTGCCTAAGATGTGAGAAAAGCCTATGACAGCATCTTAAAAATAGAAGAGTCCTCTCTGTGCATGGAAAGAGCTCTCACTGAGGTTCCTCTGCACCCCTGTTCTGGCACACACCCACCAGCCTTGCCCCAGACAGCAGTATAAACACATAAAAGCTCTTTTATAAGGGTTCAGAGAAAGTGCAGAAGAATCCATTCAAGTTGACATATCCACCTGAATCCAAATCCTGGGAGGAAGGGCTTTCACGTCCCAGCCCCTGTGCTATCTTTATAAGGGCACTAATTTGTACAGCACACATATTTTATCTGCACTGCAAAAACACCACAGATGAACATTAACCAGATTCCTTGTGCTGTCTGCCAGGTGTTTAAATATTTGGCAACTCAAATACTGCAGTCTAAATGCTTCAGATTATCCAGTGAGAACATGGGTATGTTTCCAGCCACTATGTAAAACACATTTTTTCCCCATTTGTTACATTTTAAGCAGCAGACTGGAGTTACCAACACATAAACATCACACTACAGGTCTATTTTGAAGGTTGAGCTTATTAACTCACAAAAGCTTTCACTGAAAAATATGCACAGAAAAACTTTTAATCCAAAAGACTCCCCATTTATCTGCACTAGGCAGGCGCTACACAAAGGATTCTGCAAAGAAAACAAGCTCTGATATTGTATATTTTGATAAGTTTAGGTGTATACCAAGCATTCAAAAACATAATCCCACACTATGTATTAAACAACATTCTTCTCTTGGTCCAAGTTAGACAACACATTTCTGAGCAGTGTGAAGATCCATGACTTTCTGAAGCTTGAAATATATTCCACCACCAGAACTTTGACCTGGACACCTCTATACATTAATATATTACTGTGTTAATATATTTACTGCTTTTCCTCCTTCACCCACACTAAGCTTCAGGTAAAAACTTCCACAGTATCATTATTAGCAACAAAAATGAAAGGCCCCGAGGGATCATGACATTTTTTTATAGCATGTCAGTTATCTTCCTGAGGAGGAAAGAGATATCACTCCAGTGAGAAAGAAATTAAAATACTTTTTCTGGTTTTTATCACAAAAGCAGTGACAGCTTTCTGAACAGGGGCAGGAAGGTCAGATTATCTCACACCTGAGCTTACAGGCTATTTTAAACCGGTAACTGGATTAAAATTAAAGCCATATACCCTCAGAAAGAAAACCCACTGCAGCCTCTTCACCAAAACAAATGTATCCTACTACCACAGAACAAACTGGCAGCAAGGCAAATCAGCAGTAACACATGAGGAATTCTCCACTCAGGATCATCAGAAAGACAGGATTTGTCCCCCCCCCCTTGTGCCATACCTTTGATGCTTGAGGAGTAGAGATGACATGAACAGTGCTGGGTTTAACTCCATTGGCCTTGGGTCGCTTATAAAGGGCAAATCTGCTTTTCCTGCGTCCTCTGTCACCGTTCGGGAGGGATCCATTGTACCTGGAAATAAACCACAGCAGCTGAGCACAAACCACCACCAGTCTGGAACAGGGAAAAGGAGGGACTGGACGTGTGGCCACAGAGAAGGAGAGAGTGGTAATTCTGGTATCATCAAATGCACAGGCAAAACAAAACAAGTCCCAGCCCTGCTAAGTTTTGTTTCCTGAATTATGAGCGTTCGAACATCCTTTACCCACCAACGGCTGAAATTTTGTTCTCATTAAAAAGGTAATTAACTACAAATGAACTACTGAGCTGTTCAGCCACAGAAATACTTCTTTGCCTCTAGAATCAAAGGAATTTGGAATAACACCCTACATCTTCAGTAATTCAGAACAAGGGGAGTTTTACAATGTTTTTACCCTATCAGCCCGCTTCAGACATCTCATACAGGAACGGGGCCAATCCAGAAAAATAAAGTAATTTAGGGGCAAGTAAAACTGTGTGAAAAGGAATTTTACTCACACAAAAAAGCTTTTCGTCATTGTTTCTCCCTCCTCCTTTTTTTTTTTTAAACTCTAATCCTAAAGGCTTCATCTATTATTAAGGGTAGAGGATGCAAGTGTTTTTAATTTATGTGACTATCTGAAGCCTCACTAATGACTTCCTTTATCAGGTGTAACACAGTAGCCTTCCACAGTTCTTTCATCTCTCCCTGAGGACACAAGACCCAGAGGATTAATTATTCAGAGAAGTCTTAAGCCTCAAGGGGACACAGCTCCTTCCCCAGGGAAGGGATCAACTGGAAACTTCTTTGCAATGCATAAGGACAGAATTCACCTCCACCTCACCCCAAGATTTAGGTCAGGTTGGTGCTTCCCCCCACAGCACTGTCACCTGTGACATTCCTGCCAACTCCCAGCTGGTCTGGGAACAGCTCTCAGGGCGGAATATGGAAAGGAGAAGCAAAAGGCAGCAAGGCAGAAACACAGAATCTTTTATTTTCTTATCGTAACATCCTGAATGTGTAACTAAGCAGTTTGTGTAACAGGAGAATGCACTTGGAGAGCTTCTATCCTTCTGCAAACAAACGGGGAACAGGGAGTGGATGAAAGCAAGGGGTGTCATTGCTGAGGCTCTGCAGAAGGCTCAGTGCTCACTCCAGGCAAGGATCACCTGCTGGCACACAGGGAAACAGCTCCCAACTTCACATGCGGGGATCCCAAATGCAGGATAGCTGAATGTTTGAGCACAAGCAAGAACAGATGTAAGATCAAAAAATAATCTCAAATCTAAGCAGTCCAGAACATAAAACCCGGACCTTTTAAAAATATGCATTTATTACATGATGCTAAAGCCACACAGAAAGTTGAGAGACTTTCAGCTGGGCTGAAATTGGACTTGTCCTCTCATTCCCACTTTCATAGGGAGACTACGGAATCTTTCTGGAATATTAAAGGGGATTCCCTGACACAGCAGGAAAACAACAGGAGTAAATCACTATTATTTCACCCCAGACCTACGTGTACCTTGGAAACTTGTTATCAACCCTACACCAGACGAGAGTGGCACAGCAGATCCTCATCACAAGAGCCCAACCCCTACAAAGATACATCAATATGATCCACAGGCAGCTTAAATACCAGCACTTAAAATAGGAGTTATTTGATTCTCCAACTTCAATCTCCCCGGATATACACACATGTTTTCTTTCAAAGGCACTGTATTACCAGGAATATGCCAGCAAGTTTTAACTTGCCTGAAGACAACATTCCTTCTACAAGTATTTTTATCTGAAAACCTAAGAAAGCAATAATTCCCTCAGAAATAATGTGTAGTGACTATATATTACCACTGCTAGCTTTACATTCTGTAATTATTATTTTTTTTAATATTTGTGTAACTGTTAAGTGACACTGAATTGAAGTAGTTCCAGTTAAAACCAGGCAAGCGGGGTTTTATTCTCATGTTCACAAAACAATTTCAACTGGGAAAGGCTACTCCATTTCATTTCAGTCTCTGTGGGATTTAGTTACTTTTTGGAGAGAGAAAGAAGCTGCTCAAGGTTAAAAGATCTTTTGGAAACTTGAAATAGGAAAGAAATCCAAGCAAAGCGAAAGTTGAATTCATTCATCCTGATTAGCACTGACAAATTTTCAGGAGGGTTCTCTCCTCCTGCCAATTTCTGAATTTCCTTTCCACAAAAGGGCAAGAGGAACCGAGTGGTGGTTTTATGATTTGTTATGCTTTAATTATAGACCTGCAGGTTTTATTTTGATCTGACAGTGGCAGAAAGAGCTGGGACAATTAGTAGGCACACTAATTGTTTTAGAGGAGGGGGGAAAAAAAAAAAAAAAGGGTGTCAGAGAACTTGCCTCTTTCCACAGCTGGCACATTCCTGCATTTTTCCTAGGCCAGGACTCTCAGCTTGTTCTCCACAAACCAACCCTCCCCGTGGCACTGGGGCCACACCTTTGCTTCCCACTTCTTCAACCACCTACATGCCCAGTGACCCAGCAGTAATGCCACGGGATCTTCCCAGCCAGGGTAGGACCTGCCCCACTCCTGAGGCACAGCCCCATCCTCTCGGCCCATCCCTTTGCTTTTCCAAAAGGAGCTGTCCCACTGGATTCTGCAGGAATACAAGCATGGCTGTCCACACCTTTGCTGAGTCAGCTTTCCTAAGCACAGGCACAAGGAACTGCAGCCAAAGCAGCCTCCAGCCCCCTCCTCTCCTTCACTTCCCTCAGCTCTTCTGAGCAGCAACAACTTCCTCCTTCGGAGCACCAACAGGATGGAATGGCACAGGGAGAGAAGGGACAAGCACTGAGGCCACAAATTCCCCAGACACTGGGAGACTCCAAGCTTCCCCACAGCCAACAGGAGCTTCCTCTCACAACTCCTCTCAACAAGCATGAGCCCATTTCCCTTCCCCCTGCACCCTTCCAATAATTCCAGAAGCAGCTTAGGGACCAGCACATGAGCACACCAACTTTTTGTTTCACAAGGAGGCCAGTGCTGCCCCTCTTGTTCCAGAAAATCTGCAGGTGGAACTCTCCTCTGGCCCACCAAAAAGCCCAGAACAAATGTTGTTTCCAACTAATAAACCAGGGGAAAAAAAAAAAAATCAAATTTCACAGAGACAGAACAACCATTCCTGAGACCATCCCGCTCTCACGTGGGCACTGCTGAAGTTCTCCAGGAGTTCATCTGACCAACACATGTGGAAGGAACAGTCCTGTACTTCTTTCAAATACCTCTCAGTGACAGCAATTCCAGGACAATTTGCATTATGAAACCTCCTGGGATATTCATCTCCGTTGATAGCACCATTCCTTGCAAATAAGGGAGTGGTGCTGGCAGAGGCCATGGGCACCCTCATTACCAAAGCCAGTTTCCTACAGATTTACATCAAGCACTTGAGGACTTTGGTACATAATGAACTGCAAACTCCAGTTAAGCTTTTCCCATGGTTGGGATATGTAAGGAAAGCCTCTCCTCCACACGGATTCATGGCTGTCTGGAAAGCAAGACCACACATGTTCTCTCCCACGGTCCACTGTGGCAAGTTCCTGTTTTCCACAAGTCTTGTACTACTTGTACTACTACTGGAAGTACTTGACTACTTCAGAGACCGAGCTTTGAACTGTTTGTCAGATGGCTTGTTACACAAGCTTTTTTGGTTTATGTTTATTTTGGGGTTGCTTTTAAAAAAAGAATCTGGCCTAGACAGCGATAAAGAGTAAACAAGACCTCTGTTATTTGGGACAAGAGCTCTAAATCTTGACCTGCACCTTGAAAAGTTCAACTTCAACTTAGAGAAGTTACCCTAAAAATTAAGGTGAATATCCACCACCTGACAGAGAAAGTGCTGAATGAAGCCTATCTTTTTAACAATGCTATCAAAATACAAACTATCATAAAACTTAAATACTTTCCATCTATCTCCTGAAAGACTACAAGCTGAACAATGCCTAATTTTCACAGGTAATAAAGCCCTTGGACAAAAAGGAGTGATTTTACTTTGTTTTCCTTGTCCACCACTAGCAGATCTACTGCATACCTTGACATTTTTAGATGAAAACCATCCTGTCTCAGACTTCACTGTAAAGAGGTGACGTGCCACAGTTCAGTTGTTACCACAGCTCTGATGAGTCAAACAGCACATCTTTGCTTACTAAACAATAAAACTGCAGAAGTGAATTCAGACTTGAGGGAATTTTCCCTTTTAAGTACATTTTGATCCCATATTTGGTATAATGCTGCAGTACACACTCCACACACACCAGATTTCAGTTTGTGTGTTTTTACCATCCCTGACCCAGCCTGGTCCAACCCCACTGCCCAAAGCAGCAGTCTCACCTTTCATCTGTTTGTTCCTGCTACATCTCTGCCTGGTTCACATGAAGGGGAAGCAAAACTAGATTTGTGCTTTAAATTTAGTTTTAAGCCATATAAAGCCAAAGAACCATTTATATCAGCAACATGGGAAAACAGTACAGAGGGCAGGGGAGATTCCTTTGGAAGAACTGAGAGTCTCCAGCTCTCAAGGCATCTACAACATCAGAAGGTTAAAGACATTAATCACCTTTGCAATCCCCAGCTCCAGAGCTTTTCAAGGCTGTACACTCAGGTCCTGACTAACTGGGAAACCCTTTTGTGCTGAAGCATCCAGCCCTTCCTTCTTTGGACACACATTAAAGGGGAAAAAAAGCCACATGTTTACAGTTTACAGCAAAACACAGAAAGCTTCAACATATGCAACACTGACAACCAAGTGAGTGACCTTGTGTTTCCTTCTGTGCAGTATCACTGCCAGTACTTCAGGCTCTTCACACACACCCTCTCCCCTTGTATCACACTGAACAATTCATTTGGTATCCAGAACTGATGGACTGTTTCAGCACAACAACTTGAATGGTTATGGATTTTCTTACTTTTTCAGAAAAAAACCAAGAATTATTTCAAATACATTTTTCTGCACCAGAGCTTCAGAAAACAAGCAGGTGCTGCCTGCCAGTTATCTGAGAATTCCAGTGAGACAGAACAGTGAAGTCATTCTCAAACTTAATCTCAGGGGGAAGAGCTGCCAAATAGGAAAAGCAAAGCTAAGTAGTAGTTTTGTACCACCAGGATACTACTGGTTCATTGCTTCCTTTGAACTCTATTCCCTGTTCCTGTGGATCAGTGTCAGAGGCATTAACTCAGTATGAATTTCAGTCTAAGCTTGTCTCCAGCTGATTACAGGCATCAGTGTCTGTCTCAGAGGCACCTCCACCACCACCAGAGGTATTGCTAGTCCTGTTCCTGTCAGGAGTTTTTGGCAGTGAACATAAGGCTGCTCCTTGAAAAATGGAGTGCTACAGATGACTACAACAGGTTACAACAAACACTTTCAACGCTGAATTTTTTTGGAGGTTGGAAGGAGGATTCTGTTATCCTTCTTGTCATTCCTTGGTACTCAAAAAGCCTGGATTGCCCAAAGATTCCTTTCTCTTTTCTCAAGGTGCCCTTTCCCCACTGAATCACATGGACCTCTGGCAAA